CTGCTCTCCCTCTGACCTTCCTCCCTCTCATGCTCTCTGTCTCTCATTCTCTCTCTCTCAAATAAATAAAAATAAAATCTTTAAAAAAAAAAAAAAAGTATACTTATCAGTGCTTCGTATTCCCCAATGAACCAGAGTACCACTGATCCAGCAGGCGAAGGATAAATATCATAGGATAAATTACTACCTCAGATGTCCTGCTTGCCAGGTTTCTTGCCAAGAGAGCAACAACAGAGAACCTTCTTATCCTCTCTTATTGTGCCTCACCTGTTGTCCTCAAAGATTATTTGTGGAGACAAAAAGGGCAACCAGTGAATAGATTCTGATCTGTTTTCTTACTATATCAATAAACATTCCCTATTCCTGTTCATATTAAAATCTGAACTGGCAGTAGAATATGCTTAAAAATTGATGTAGCGTTTGAGATATGAGATTTCAAAGAAGGGAGTTTTTCTCCAGCTGTTCTGCATCTCCACATCTGCCAAAATGCTTATGGTTTGACTTTGTGCATTCCGAGTTACATTCCTCACTCTTAAAAAGATGAGAACCATGTGCCAGAACTCATTAAGAAATTACCCAGTAAACACTCTGGCTCCCAAGTGGCTTTCTGACACCAAATAAGTTTCTTTGATCAGTAGAATGGTATATTACATTCACTATAAACTTTTAAGGGGGACTCACTGCCAAAAAATTCCAACAGAAATGAAAATACCAGAATTTTGAAGTTGACCCACACTGCTTCTTTATTCCACAGCACACAGTAATTCAAAGAGTTTAATTCATTAATATTTAACTTTGCAAGTGTTCTACACCCACTTAGAAACATCCTCTTTCATTTTTTTTTCTCCTTAAAACTTACCGAGTATCACTGTCCTATAACTTTAAACTGTACCCTGGGATTACTTTATTATGGGTGCAAAAGTAGATTTCCAGGGATCAGTAGGCTGCTGGTTGTTCTTTAACGTGTGCAAAAACTCACAAGTGGTGGCACATGTGTAGATTTCCCACTCCCAACCCGCTCTCATTTCCATAGGTTAAAATGAGCAGTGCGTGTATACTGGGAGAGAAGAACACCCATCACCAAAGGGCAGTCTGGACTGAACATTTGATAGGGAGAAAGGCTAACTCTTTCTTGAGGAAAGACTATAAAGGATTTTCTCAACAGATGGGAGATACTTTTCGCATCAGTTTATAGGGTCACTTTCTTCTGCTCTATTGGCTACATTTTTTTTTGAGTTACTGAGCAGAGCAAACTCTCAAACCATGATGCTTTTTATGACAGCCTTGATGAGCTCAATACCAAATATAATTCTCACAGCAGCATTCATACTTTTGGGTAGAAAACACAGAAACAAACTCTAATCCAGTGGCGCGCATATTAGAATCACTTGGAGAGGCTGGCCAAATTACTCAAGCTCACTCCCACCTCCAAGACACTCCGAAAGGTACTCCTCTTCACCCACTCACACGTCCATTAAAAACCATTGCTGTTGTAGCCACAGCCTACCTACCACGGATCCCACAATCAGCTGTCATCAGGAGGCCTCTAACCTACCACTCCAATAACAGATAGCAACATCTGAAATGTACACAGCCTATGATCCAGCAAGTCCCCTTGTAGGAATTTACCCTACTGACACCTGCACAAGAAGGCAATAATGGGCAAACAGAAATACGAAATTTACCAGCTTGTAGAAAATAATAAGAAAAACTAAATAATGAACTAATTAAATAAATTGTGGTATCAACGCATTGGAATTCTTCTACTCAGCATTAAAAAGGAAGAAGTAAATCTATATTCATTTACATGAGAAAAATAACTCAGTTTTTCAAAGATTTTGACTGTCTCTGAACAGGCTTTTAGCCATCATTATTACATAGGAGCAGCACTGAGAAAAGGGGTTTGGGAGCTCAGCCTCTACAGCACATTCACAAGAACACTGAAAAGGTCCTGTCACATCAAAGCCACAAGACTTGCAGGAGAATTTCCTGGCCTGCATGGCATAAGCACACTGGGATGATGTACATTTGCTATAACTGTGCCAGGACCCCCTTGACCTCCCCCCGCAAAGTGGCCCGGCAAGGCACAGAGCTGCGCAGACCGGTTGCCTCCAGCAGTGAGCAGCCTCTTCATTCACTCTGACTGTCGCACCAATATCTGTAGTTCCTTGTGTGCTGAGGGGAACAGGTTTGAGAAGTTGTGAATTTCAGGAACTGCAGAAGTTACCAGGATCCTGTGTCACTGTTTGTTGTCAAAGGCTCATTTTTTCTAAAGGAAAGAGAACAAGATACTGACTGTAACTAGAGCATCCTGTGCAAAAGAATGAAGATAACTAGGGTTATCTGAAACCTTCCCTCATCTTCTACCTGAAAGTCTTTGAAATGCTAAATTAAAGAAGCCAGACACAAAAGATCATATAATACATGATTCCATTTATGTGAAATGTCCAGAACATATCTATAGAAACAGAAAGTAGACTGGTGGTTGCCTGGGGCTGGGGGATAGGAACAGACTGACTGCAAATGGGCATGAGGAATCTTTCGGGAATGATGAAAATGTTCTTAAATTGGATTGAGTGTGCAACAACTCACAAGTGGTGGCACATGTGTAGATTTCAATGTACAATGCCGTAAATTTACTAAAAATCACTGGTATAGTCAAAATGGGTAAATTTCTGGATGTGTAAGTTATATTTCAATAAAGCTCTTAATAAACACTTTGAAGTAATATTAAACAATTTATAATTTTAGCCATATTATTTAGATGTCTATACAACAGAAATATATCTAAGTTATAAAAAGCAAATTGCATATACTGATCTCTTTTTTTCATTTAAAAAAGCTGTAATTTAAAGAATCAAAAAATGTATTTAATCTTGAGTATGCACAGAAAATAACTAGAAGGAAATACAAGGAATGTTGTTTTTAGAAGGTGAGACTGGAGTTTCCTTGCAGGGAATTTTTTACTTCTTACTTCATGCATTTTTGCACCATTAAATATTTTTATAGGCAAATATTCCCTTTATTTAAAAATATATAAATTATCTTCAATGTCTACGTTTTTCTTTTGCTCTCAAAAAAGCTTGTTATCGAGGTTCTCAGAATATAAGTATTTTTTTTTAAAGATTTCATTTATTTATTTAGGAGAGAGAGAGCACAAGCATGTGGGAGACGCAGGGGGAGAGGAAGAAGTGCCCGATGGGGGCTCAATCCCAGGACCCTGGAAATCATGACCTGAGCCAAAGGCAGATGCTTAACCTATTGAGCCACCCAGGTGCCCCATAAAATAAGTATTTATAATTAAATATTTCAATTCCAGAATAAAAAAGTAAAGTATTTACTGATTCTGGAAAATGTGATTAAATACACACTATCTCTTGACAAGTGCACTACAGTGACATTTTACAGAGTGGGCTATGTGTTCTACTGACGGTATGGAGATAATTTTAGGTCAGAGGTTGGTAAACTTTTTCTTAAAGAGCCAAATAATAAATACATTAGTCTCTGTGTGCCATTCTGTCTCTCTTTCAACCACTTTGTATGTCAAAAGCAGCCACAGACAATTCATAAATGAACAGATGAAAAGAACAGATTATAATGATCTCTGTATTAGGTGGGAGAATGGATATTTTTTTAATTTTAACATGTGCCTGAATATGTATTAGAAAAATATAATGAGCCCATGAAGCCCATGCATTCTTAAATATTATAACTTAAGATGAGGCTAACTTTATGTAATTTTTTAAAAGACTGGAGATTTAAAGAAAAATATTAAATAAATAATAGAACAGAAGATACCCGGGTATGACAGAAATCATGAAAAAAAAAAAAAGAAATCATGAAAGATATCTGCAAATGACAAATAGCATTTGAGTATAAATAACAATAAACAGTGGAATGAAGAAAATCTCTCCAGACTAGGTAATTCTTATTAGAACCCAATGTAAGGCAAAGCTCCTGAAAGAAATATCAAAATGTAGACCAAAAATCCCCAAGAAGTAGTGATCCTTAATATTTACTGGATCATAAGTTACAAACCTATTACCCAGGGGAAAAACTGCATTAACACTGTGCTTTCTGAAACACTTCCAAATTCAGAGACTTTGACATGGTGAAAGAAAAGAAAACATACACAACAGCATCATTCCAAGATTTTTTCCAAGCACTCCAGTGCACATGATCTGTGGTCAGAGCTTCACTCAGCAAATCAAACAGGCAGACCAAGAATGCAGTGCCCTCTGAGAAACAGTGCCCTCCTCACATACCAATTGTGATGACACAGGAAACTGTGTATTGTCAAAATAAAGTAATGCTGTTGCCGACTACTGCCCCCATTCAATTCTACGTGCCACAATCCAGGTCAGAAAAAGAACAAAGTTTTAAACCTTTTGATTCTTCCTGCACTTTGCTAAACACAGCCATAATTTACAAACTGATACCTTAACCATGGATAGGGTGTTTTCTACTTCAGAAAATCTGAATTGAGAAAGGGCAGAGAAGGATAGATGGTGGGGAGAAAAAGGAGCTAATACTTTTAAGCATCTATGTGCTAGGTACTCTACATACACCGTTCTATGAAATGCTTACAACAAATCCATGAGATAGATATAATTCTCTTCATCTTAAGAAAAGGAAATGGAACCATTTGTCTAGATTTATCTCCCTTGTCTCCTCAAGATAAAGTTTTCATATCAGTAATACTGAAGAGCAAATATTGATCTGTAAATATATTACTTTTACATTAGTTTTTGTTCATGCTGCTACAATGTTCTTTCCATATCTATATTCAACTAAATTGTACTTGGCTTTGAGACTCAGCTTAACCATGACTTTCCCTGAGAGGCCTTCCCTAATGCCCTCCCCCATTCATGATTCTCCCTCGCCGTGGTATTACTTCCATGGGGCATCATCACTGCACATAGTCCCATGTACACTACTGAAATTGCTGATTTAGTTGCCAATCTCCCCTTGTAGATTAAAATCTCTGAAAGTTCCGAGATCACTTCAGTTTGACTTCTCTCCTCAAAGCTTTACTACTATGTCTAGCACAAAGTAAGAACTCTGTAATCTATTAAATGAATGAATAAACAAACTGCATTCCCAATGTCTAACATGTAAGTGGTAGAACCAGGATTTGAACCTCGTCTCTCTTTCCAATATACCATCACGTGAGTACCAAAAAAAAAAAAAAAAATCAATTAATTATTTACTAGTTGCTCTTTAGAATATCTACCAGTGACTCAATTGCTCCAAATTGCCTTGGAAGTCCTTCAGGAAGTACCATAAACTGGCTTTTAAGGGACCAAAGAAAATGTTCTAAAATGTCTTAAATTCAAAGAAAATTAAAATTCTGTCATATAAAAAGCTGGGGTTTTCTCAGAATTAAATTGCCAAAGGACTAGGAAGCAGTGGTGTGGTACTCAAAAATAAAACCATCAAAGTCAAATAAGTGTATCCTTGTTAAGTCCCTCTGGCCTCATAGCAGGCCAAAAGTATTTCTGTCATTCCATTTTTAACAAACCCTCAGGAAGGTCCAAGGTGGAGGCTGGCTCATATCAAATTGCCTCTGAGATTTCCCTAGAGTAGTCCATAATCCTGAGCACCCAGGAATCTATATATACCCCAACACCCCTGGCTGACTAGGAAACAAGCTGAGCTCCCCTTTAATACCAAGTTGCTTGTTCCTGCTTCTCTTGAGTTTTTTCAGACAGTTTTGCGACATGGAATGTGGGGAGGCCTGAAGGCCTTTGCCAGAGTGAATCTCCATCCTGCAGGGGCACAAACCCCCCAGCGCTGCTGGCCCTACCACCATACCGAGACCTGTGGTTCCAAATAAATTTTAGGACCTGACATTGGGCAACAAGAAGCTACTGCAAGGTTAAAAACAAAATAGTGATCAGACTGATTTTTGAAATCTTCTAACTGTATCATTATTGTTATTAGCATTATCATTACTATTATCGTTAGCATTATTACCTCTATAATAATGTGTTCTCATGCACAGTCTCCCCAGAATGGAAGAGAGAAGGCACAACTACAGCTGGTATACCATGAAACAACCTTGAGGAGGCATGTAAAAATGTATCTAAAAGTTGAAACAGTATCTATCATGCCTGTCCTGAAGGGAAAATGATTGGCAACTGTTGCTTTAGACTACTATATTCTACTGCATTGACAAGATTAAAAGTATTTGTTGCACGCCTACTGTGTGCAAAGCATTGTGCCAGATGCTCCTGCATCTCTCTATATAGAGAACCGAAGAGTTTTGTTGACTTCTCAGGCAAAATCTCTAGGGAAATTTTGGGGGGATCATCACCATTGTTTAATACTCTTAAGCTTTTCTGCTTCAGTTTTTTTAAGACACAGCACACTCATAAATACTTAAACAGAAAGAATCTTCTGCTATTTTTTCCAGTGACCAAAATATTAGTATCTGCTTTCTACGGCACTGTCTTTTAAGTATCAAGGTATTTAAGAAATTCAATTATTGATAAGAAGTTTGTTTGGAGAGCACATATCGAGAAATAAAAGAGAACTGGTTAATTTTAAAGGCTATCGTATGAAAGTTTGAACCATACCTGCTCCCAAGCTATCCTCAGACCAAATACGCTCATGCCTTCAAGTCACAGGATCTCTTCTTTGAATAAAGATGTCAACTGCTTACACTCAAACACCCTTCATGAAAAGTGACACAAATACCATTTATACCATGTAATGGAAGTTGCAGTACAATGAAATACATTAGAGTTTCCATTTACATTCCCACTGTGCCTCCTTAAGGATATACCCTCTTCAACTCCATTGGACTTAGGCATTGCTCAACTCTATAACAGCAACACAGTTAGAAACCAACTCCTACAATGGCCACAGATGCAGTTAATTCATTTAATAAGCAGTTACTGAGCATATGTGCAGGATATTGTCCTAGGTGCTAGGAATTCAAGCAAAGATGTTGTTGTGGAGACAAGCAGGTAACAGATAAACACAATCAGTATGGCATGTGTTATGATAGAAGAAGTGCACCTAATCAGGTTTTCCTGGTCACCAGTATAAGGTAACCAGTTGAAAAATCATGCTAAGCTCATCCATACTGAGCTAAAAGGAAAAATTAGCTCAGTGGGATGCTCCAGTCAATGAGCAATCTTTTTCTGACTTTGACCCCGTGGACAGTTCCTATGGGAGATACCATGAACAGTATATACCCTCTTCACCCAACGACCTATAATCTAATTAAGGCAATAAATACACATTTAAAATGATGCTTCAGCAACAGAAAACTTGGGATCAAGCCCTAGACTTGCCACTTACTAATTACGTGATTTGGGACAAGTTGGGTAGCATCTCAAAGCCTCAAGTTTATCATACGTATAATGGATAACAGTATATACTTCATATGATTGCAATAAAGGTGCAATGAAATAGTGCAACCAAAGCACTTAGTCTAAGCCTCAGAACTCAGAAACCATTAGCTATTACAAAAACATCATTAACATGATTAATCTTACAGTGAGTGCTCAAATATTCAAAAGAACAAGCAGTCGTTTTCAAATGCGGTTGTTTAAAAAAGATTTAGCAGAAACACTGAGATTTGAGCTCCAACTTAAAGGGAGCACAAAAAAAGATGATCCACGATGGAGCAAACCATAGTAGGGAAACTCAAGATGATGACAATTTCTCCAGCAGGTAATGAGAAAACAATTTGAGCACAGCTGTGTAAGGAAGTGAAAGAAGGGAGGACCTGAAAGGCAAGCGAGTGCCAGATGACAAGAGGCCTTCACTGCCGGACAAACAAGTTTGAGCTTTGTCCTGTACATGATGGCGACTAAAAGGTTCTGTCAAGTAAAGTAAAACGACCAAAGCAGTGCTTTCTAAGAAAAAGTGAAAAGGCGTGGGCGGGGTGGGGGGCGGGTAGACAAACCCCTTAGAATGGACTGTGCTAGTCCTGTTGCTTGGCAATAAGGACATACCTTGCAGCGGTGTCAGTGGAGAAAGCTGGAGACTGGAAGCATTTTGAAGGAGTAAAAAAAAAAAAAAGACACATTTACTGAATGCCATGTATTCGTCACAGTCCTGCTCTAAAAAAGGTTGTCAGGTCACATTTTCCTAAGAAGTAGTTAAGTCTCTAAACTTAAGTTGTGAAATTCCAGAGACATATTGATTCTTCCAGGTATTTTAATGACTGAGAAGGGTACCTTGCTCACTATAAGCATTAAATCAGTGTGGGTGCTCATAGTAACGGGATCTGTATTTGTCACACCCATGCTGCAAGCAGCACTATTCACAACAGCCAAAAGGTGGACATAACCCAAATGTCCACCAATGACTGGGTAAATAAAATGTGATATCCACATACAATGGATTATTATTCAGCCTTAAAAATGACTGAAATTCTGACACATGCTACAATATGGATGAACCTTGAAGACATTAAACTAAGTGAAATAAGCCAGAGACAAAAGGACAAATACACTCTGATTTCACTTATATGACATACCACAAGTAGTCAAACTCACAGAGACAGAAAGTAGAATGGTGGTCACCAGGGGCTGGAGGAAGGGAGAATGGGGAGTTATTGCTTCATGGGTACAGAGTTTCAGTTTGGGATAATGAAAAAAAAAGTTCTAGAGATAGACAGTGGTGATGAATGTACAACAATGTGAATGTACTCAATGCCACCTAAGTGTACACTTAAAATGGTCAAAATGGTTAGTTTTAGGTTTGATGTGTTTTACCAAAATAAGAAAACATAATAGTGGGAATCTGATGCCCTGAGAAGCAGCATTTTCACTCAAAACAAGATGAAGGTAAGGCCTGCTAAGGCCTTTAGCCTAGCTGCCCAACCAAAAGAAATCACCCCTCTCCCCAGGTCAGACACCATTAGCTAGGTTGTCCAACTGGAAAAATAAAAAGGAAATATGCCAACCATCACCTCCATCAGAATGATAATGGTAGCCCAATGGTGCATGCCTCTCTGCTTTTCACCTGCCCTGGTCTGACCCTAAAGGGAAAAAAAAAGGGGGAAGTCATTTTACTTATCAAAGCAACCCCTCATCTTGGTTCCTTTAAAAGAAAGGAAGCGGAGAACCTGGGTGGCTCATTCGTTAAGTGTCTGCCTTCGGCTCAGGTCATGGTCCCAGGGTCCTGGGATCGAGCCCCACATCGGGCTCCCTGCTCAGGCGGGAAGCCTGCTTCTCCCTCTCCCACTCTCCCTGCTTGTGTTCCTGCTCTCAATGCGTCTCTCTCTGTCAAATAAATAAACAAAATCTTTAAAAATAATAAAAAGAAAAAAAAAGAATGGAAGCTTGAAGAAGGAAGAGTAACTTGCTGAGATGTCTCTGTGCCCTTAATGCCACAGCCATGACAAATGCTCTACAGACAAATTCACTGAGCTTTGAGGGACTAGAATTATTTAGTATACTTCTACATTAAAATTTCCCAAGTGATACAAATGTAGTGATCTGAAGGGGCACCTGAATCCCAATGTGTATAGCAGCAACATCCACAATAGCCAAACTATGGAAAGAGCCCAGATGTCCATCGACAGATGCATGGATAAAGAAGATGGGGCATATATATACAATGGAATATTATGCAGTCAGCAAAAAAATGAAATCCTGCTATTTGCAATGACGTGGATGGAACTAGAGGGTATTATGCTAAGTGAAATAAGTCAATCAGAGAAAGACAAGTATCATATGACCTCACTGATATGAGGAATTTAAGAAACAAGGCAGAGGATTATAGGGGAAGAGAGGAAAAAATGAAACAAGACAAAACCAGAGAGGGAGACAAACCATAAGAGACTCTTAATCATAGGAAACAAACTGAGGGTTGCTGAGGGGACAGGGGTAGAGGGATGGGGTAACTGGGTGATGGGACATTAAGAAGGGCATGTGATGTAATGAGCACTGGATATTATGTAAGACTGATGAATCACAGACCTGTACCTCTAAAACCAATAATACATTATATGTTAATTAACAGAATTTAAATTTAAAAAATAATCAAATCAAAAATAATAATAATAATAAAATTTCCCACATGGATACTGTTTTTAGCACTATGCCAGATGGAATGCAAATACAGGAAAAGTATAAGATACGGTCCTTGCCTTTTAAGATCATATAACCTACTTGAAGGGACAAGAATCATACAGTGATATAATAATGAACATTATGAAACAGAATGTAATTAGGTGCTAAATTGTGTAGTACAGATTATAAGTACTCTAGGAGGTCATAAAAATGTCTAACACCCTGTAGAAATGAATAATGGGTCAAGAAATCTTTACTCACTGCCCACTTGTAGAAGCAAGCAGAGAAACCTATAAAATGGAATGAAGGCTTTTAAAATTTCTATTATATTTTAATTTTATGTGTAATATACCTCTTCTACCAAACAGTCCTTTTCTTAATTTTTTTCCAAATTTGCTTTTTTTTTCAGCCTGTTTACAAGTAATTAGAAAATGCCTCAAAGGAAAATAAATGTGCCAACCGCCATTTGAAAGAATGTGTAAATTACCGTGAAACAGTGGTACTCAATGAAAAACTAGTAAAATCAGGCTTCATAAAAATAAACCTTTTATTCAAAGCTTGATTTGTTCAAAGCCAAGAAGAAATAGCTATATGGACTCCCCTCCTTCCCACATGAGGGCTAATGAGATCCAAGGACAATTTTATTCACTTAGCTTCAGAAATCAGACCATCTGCTTTAAAATGGGAATTTCACATCCCTCTGCATGACATAGATCTAACAGACAGGGATTTTGTTTCTATAACGACTCAAACTGTGAGTGTGTATATCTTTTTGTTCTGGCCAACCTCACACATTAAAAGTTGTATGACCAGGTAGCGTAAGCAGTGAACTGAAGAAGCGAGGCATTAAATTCTATTTCCTAGGCTGCCAGTGACTATAATCTCTCCTCACTTTCTTCATCCCTTCTCCCTGAGTAGCAATCAAACATATTCTACTCTATCAGAACTGAGTAAATATAGAGCTATCTGATATTTCTCACTCAACTATTAACACCACGTTAATACTGGCAAGCCCTGGGGGTAGTTGGAGTAATATACTGCTGCAGAACGATACTTTGTGGCTTAAAACAACCATTTTGTTTCACTCACGATTCTGTAGATCAGAAATTTAGGAGGGCTCAGCTTGGTGGTTCATGTCACCCAGCTGGTGCCAGCTTAGCTGAGGCCAGAGGATCAATATTCAAGATGGTTTTCTCACTTAAATGCCTTGTAAAGCTGTGGTTCTTCATGCTCACTAGTGTGCCCAAGTGCATGCACCTGAGTGCTGTCTCCCTCTCTCTCTCTCTCTAGCTCTCTCTCACCATATGGTGTATCATCCTCCAGGAAGGGTGACAGCTAGGGTAAGGCAAGAAAAGGTTCCTTGGCCACAGCATTTAAAGAGGCACTCATTCCCAAGTGCAGCCTCTGTACTTGTTCAACACCAGGAGTGAATACCTCCTTAAAAGGAAAGCTCCCAAAGTGCAAACTTTATAAACTTTTCTTCACATTATTCCTGGAACACCAAAACATCCTTCTAATTAATATCACAGCTTCTAAACTCCATCTTCAGTTCAGTATACTGAAGCATATCGCTCGCTAGCAGACCTTCCTGCAATAACTATTTTATTAGTACCCTTGCTTAAAGTTTCCAATGGTCCCACTGGCTTATAAATAAAACCCATACTCTTCTACCTATCATTAAAGTGTTTCATGATTTGGTGCCATCTCACTTGCTGTTGGTTGAATTGTATCCCCCAAAAAGACACGTTCAAATCCTACCCCTCATACCTGTAAATGTGACCTTATTTGGAAGTAGGGCCATTACAGATGTAGTAAAGTTAAGATGAGGTCTGGATTAGGTTACTTTAATCCAGTGACTGCTGTCTTTATACGAAAAAGGGAAGAGAGATCTGGACAAAGAGACACAGAGGAGACACAAGAAAGAAGGCCATATGAAGATACAGAAAGAGACTGAGTGAGGCATCTACAAGCCAAAGAATGCCAAAGACTGCCATGAGCCACCAAAGCTAGGAAGCCAGGAAGGATTCTTCCCTGGAGCCTTCAGAGAGAACATGGCCCTGCCAAAACTTGATTTCAGACTTCTGGTCCCTTGACTATGACACAAAAAATTTCTGCTGTTTTAAGCTACAAAGTTTGTGTTAACTTGTTATGGTAGCCCTAGGAAATTAACATACAACCCATTCAATTCTACCCCCAGTGCTTCCTAACGTGCCCCCTTTATTTAGGCAGAGGTCTATTCCCTGTCCCTATCTGCCAATTAATTACCTATGTCTTTGTCCTTAACCTCGATTAAAAGGACAAAGCAAAGCAGTGCACACACCTATAAATTGTATATAAATTGTATAATTGGCATCTTCTGGTACTCTGCCAGGCGGGGCTACTGGTCCCAAACCCTGAGTCAGAGCACACCTGGTATAAAGACAGTTGCACACATGGGTTAACTTAAAAAAAATGTTGAGAGGATATTAATTTTTTTTCATAAATGCTTAAAGTTAGAAGTAAAACAATTCCATCCCTGTCATGTTCTCTGTTCATCAAAAAGAAAAAAACATGTTTAAGTGAGAGACTAATTTATAAAAGAGATCATGCAAAGCTATAGAAGTCCTTCCTTGGCTACTTACCTCTTAGCTGTCAGAAAACGCATGAATTACAGTGATTTTAATCACCTGGACCAAAAATGACTTACAAGTGGTAATTCAATAATCTGGAACTTAAGCAAGGTTGCCCTCATTATTGTTCCCATTTCAATTGTTGGAAACAGTGTATTAAAAGCTCCTCAAGGAATAGGGAGGTCATTTATCCTTTTTCAAAAATGATCTTATATGATAATACAAGTAAAATAAATACAATTCTTTTTAATACGGTAGGGACAGGACATCTTATGGCACACACTGATTGCTCAGTTACGAATATAAATCATGCCAGAGATTGGAGGGACAGTACCTGGAACGGAGAAAGTGATCGCCCTGCTGTATCCTGTTTAGTCAGTTACACCTGGAGCCCTGAATACCCCTGGTGGGTACCACACCTTTGAGGGAAGTAGACAACCTGGAAGGTATTCAGGTGAGTGAGCAAGATAGAAAAAAGGCTTGAGGAAAAGCAGCAGAATACAGTGAGGCCTAGCCTGAAGAGAGAGAGAGAGATGTGTGTGTGTGTGTAGTAAAAAATCAAACTTAATTTTTGTGCCCCAAAGTGTAAAGCTAATGTCAATAAATGAAAGTTATTAAGAGGACAAATTTTGAATTGTCAAAAGACCAATTCCTAAAAATCAATTTAGTAATTGTGAATAGTCCCTGGAAACGTTTGTGCAAAGATATGTAACTTCTCCACAACAGTATCTTACTTATCTTCACAGCCCTAGCGCATACCACAATTACTCCCATGTATTAAGTGACTATTTGATAAATGAAGAGAAATTTAAATGTTCCCATCTAAACCTAGGATTCCAATATTTTAGGATTCTAAAGAAGCTCAACCATGAGTCGGTGACTTGTGGGTCACATAGTCATAAATTTCCTTATGTTGGATATGAATCCCTCAGGAAAGTAAAGAAGGATCCCAAACACCTGTTAGGAACATTTTAGGTAGTATCATGCAGTAATTAAGCGTAAAATGTGAAACACTTAACAAATTCAAAGATTCAAATACAATTATTTACATATACACTTACCCTCTTATTCAAAACAAAAGTGCACTGCAATTTACCAAATCATTAGCACAGACATTACCATCAGTGCTTTCAAAGGTATTCAAAAACATTTATTGAATATTAATTGTGTGCCAGGCATGTCTAGTACTTTCAAACAATTTAGCGAGGTAAGTATTAATATCTTCACTTGAAGGCCAAGGGAGTTATGTTAAGTTGTCCAAGTTCAGGCTGCTGCTAGCCCATATAGAGCATTTGAGCAAATTTTTTAAAAAACAAGGTACCTCTTTCTCAAGACATTTTACTTCCATTTGTTAGAAACTACGTCATAACATATGAATTTTACTAGAGCAAGGAACTTTACTGTCCCCTGCCATAAAACTGCCACAATATTCAAATTGATAATATCTATTATATAAATAGTACACACTTTAGATAGGTTTCTTTGTGCAGTGCACAATCTACTCAATAGTAAATGACAATTCTGTATGAGCTCTGATAATGAAGCACCAGGAATATTACTCCAAAGTACTCCCATTAACTCTCAACCTAAATGAAAATGATCAAGAACTGACATGAATTAAATGACCCTCTAGCTGCATAGGACTACTGTCTCCTTTCAGCATTGTTTCATACTCAAAGCACTCATAAGATATATTTATGTGGATGTAAACCCACTTGAATACATAGAAAGCAACTAATGCTGAATGGATAAGAAGAATTTCTCAGAGAGCCCACCATCAGCATCTTCCAGATATGAACTGCTTCTCCAAAGCCTGTTTTTACCTAAAAGGCAAACTGGAAAATATTATTGAGATCAGTATAAAATAGGGATGCCTGGGTTCAGTCAGTTAAGCGTCTGCTTTCGGCTCAGGTCATGATCCCAGGGTCCTGGGATGAGTCTGGCATTGGGCTCCTTGCTCAGTAGGGAGCCTGCTTCTCCCTCGGCCTGCTGCTCCCCCTGCTTGTGCTCACTCACTCTCTCTCTCTCTGACAAATAAATAAAACCTTCTAAAAATATATATTTTAAAAAATTAGTATAAAATAACTGCTCTCGCGTCAACACACACTCAGTCCAAACCTGCAGGTCTTAATTATTACAAAAACAACTTGAATCAGATTTCACTAAGATGTCAAAGTGCCTCAGACCAATATTCAGGCAAGTTCTGGAATGAAGATATTTAGATAACAAAAGTTCTTATGAAAAGATTTTGTCTTTTCCTAGGGGAAGATATCTCACAGTGTGAAATGGCCTGAACACCCAATGAAAATAAAAATTCCTCAGAAAAAGCAGTGTGTGTTTATGTGGTGTTTTATTTATCCAAACCACCCTTTTTGGGTCTCTATTAGGTTTTGTGCTACATACTGAGAACACAGTGATGATCAAATTCAGACCATGTTCTGCCCTCATTCCAGCAGACAAAATTAATGTAAAAAAAGGAGTGTGATATGTGCTACCATAGAAATCTAGAAAAACTGTGATAGGCCCACTTGTTCTGTTCTCCATACATGATTTCTTAGAATTTAGGTAAATAAAGCTTACAAAAATAAAAGTAAGCGTTAACATTCACTTAAAAACACTAATCACTACCATCATACCTGGCAAACAGTAAATATGTAATAGATGTGGAATGAATAAATAAATGGACTTTCCAGCTTACAAATTAGAGCAGGCAATAAGCAAACATCCACATCAATTATAAAAGAAGTGTTCATGAACACAAAATATTTTTAAATAGCCAGAAGCCTAAGGCAATTTGAATTGAGAAAAGAGGCCATTTAAATACAAACCTCATACTGACCAGCTTAAAACATACATAAATTATTTGTGATGTCTCTTAGGGCTATTTAAATTATTATTTTCAGCACCTCAGTAGCACATCTATTTTTATTTGCAAAGTCATGTGGACTTTTTTTTTTCCTAAATCCCAACCAGATCTATCAATCTGGCTTTGGCAAGAGTAATCAATTATGAGGAGCTCTAATAATTTCCATTGTTTTCAGCCATCCAGAAAATATCTGGGTTTAAATGCGAAAGAGAGGCAGAGGCTCTCTCGGTGTCCAGAGGGAATCTATTTTCACGAATTCCAACTTCAGGTGGATAATGTGAGATCAAGGTTTGTAGCTTCGACAATTTTAACCACCGTTTACTAACCAAGCCTCTCCAGAGATATTTTACCGAAACAGAAACAAAACGCTACATACGGTACTCACTTTTTCTTCTAATTCTGTGCTTTAAACTTTTTTTTTTTTTTTTTTTAACTTCATCTCACATTCTATTATACATGACCCGAGGATCGAAGGCGGTCTGTGCCGGTCTGTCTCGTGAGCGCCTGCCCGGCACCTTACGCCATCAAGCAATTCTAAAATGCTCTGTGGTGACTGCACTAGACAGTAAGCCATCTCACACAGGAAACTCAGAAGTTGGCACTTTTTTAAACATACTCATAGGCGATGTCTGATGAGAAGAATCTCAAAACTCTAGAATTCAAAGAGGCCTTTACACTGTTTAAAATACGGTTATTGTCAACAATTTGTTTTTTAAGTCTGTGAGCTTCTTCCATCCTAATTCCCACCACCACTTACCAGAAAACAGTTCCAAAGTTTCTACAAGGAATCTATGGAACTTTAGAAGAGGAAGAAAGGAGGCTGTAACCATGGCTCAGACTCACGCGCCGCCCAGAGGGTCGCGGCGCCTGCGCCCCTGGCCTTTGCCGCTTCCGGTCCTCTCTCGCCCCTGCGGCACCCTGGTCGGCGCTTGCGCAGAGGACCCGGCCCAGGGGCCTGAGTGGTCACCTGCAGGACCCCAGTTGTCTAAGGCCCCGGGAAAATAATGGACACTTCACCGTCGCCATTGCTAGAAAGAGCCATTTGTGTTTGGGCTTTGTTCTTTTCTTAAGCTCCCCATTAGGCTTCATAAAGCCCATGTGTACTTTTATTCCTGAATTTTGGCCCAACTCCTCAGGCTTAACCTACTGGCCTCAAAAATATTGGGCAGTTCCATTGCCTATCTACCTCCTTGTAGCTATAGTAATCGGTTATGTACTCTTAATTAGAATAAACATGAGTACTTCTTCACTCAGTTCCGTTCATACAATCACAGATAACTATGCTAAAAATCAACAATTAAAGAGATACCAGAGAGAGGACACCCCAGCATCAAGAGATAGTCCTATTAGTCATTTGTGTAGTGGAAAAATTATGCACCAAAATGAATAGTACATAGCCTAACACCAAGCATGTATTGTAAGTTTTTGACATAATAATTTTAACTGTAATTATTTTGACCATGTCCCTTAATACCCGGTATTGAAATGTGTGTGTGTGTATGTATATAACTTCTCTTAGATTAAGTCCCATTCATATTATAAACGTTCTCAAATATTAGTCATTAACAGACAGAATAAATAAAATACTGTATTACGATTGGGAAATATATGTAACTACCCCATAGCACACTTGCAAAGAAAACCCATTTCTTAGTAACTCAATGAAATTTTGGAACCATTTATGCCTACAGTTTTGTTTTATATTGGTATTCAATACAGTTTATGGAGAACAATTAAATAGGAGCAGACAATTTGAACTGCACAATTAAGGTGCCAAAAAGCAGATTCCAAAATACTATAAATTTTGTATACTGAAAGACTGATAAGTTAGTTCTTGATTCAAAAAGAGAAATAAGTAAGTTTTGATTTCTTTTTGAAAAATAGACATTATGTTTGCTCTCTGGGACTGATGAATAAATACAGGTTTCTAGCCTATCTTTAGTAGGTGTGTGTATGCAGATTTGATAAGGTACTGCACAGGCAAAAATGTTAAAAATCCATATATATTAGCCACATAAGAAAATCATAAAAAGAGGTGCAGATCTTTCTGCCCATGGGTCCTCTCCCCGGCTGTAATAAAAGCACATTTTAGGGCACCTAGATGGCCCAGTCGATTAAGCCTTCGTCTCTTGGTTTCAGCGCAGGTCATGATCTCTGGGTGGTGGGATACAGCCCCACACAGGGCTCTGCGTTCAGCATGGAGTCCGCTGAAGTTTCTCTCTCCCTCTCCCATTGCCCCTCCCACTGTGCTCTGGCTTGCATCTCTCTCTATCTAAAATAAATAAATAAATTTTTTAAAAAAGAAAAAAGCACCATAAAAATTTTTTTTTATAAATTACTAAAAGAGAGGTTTCCTCAGGTACTTATAGGGTCGAATTTTTGTGCTCTTCTAGCTTTTTTCATTAAAAAAGTTTCCCATTACCCCTACAAGTTTGGATACAAATAAATATTCCTAATACTTCCTTCCAGGCCTATATAAATTTCCCCCAACTTCACTCTTCTCCTCTACTGAAATCAAATGTACATCTGGTTTACGCAGACGCAGCACAGTGCTAGGCAACTAGTAAGTAAGTACTCACTTTCATTCAACAGATATTTATTGTAAATATATGTCAACATTGTATTAAGTGCTGGAGTACTAGGGAGTACAAAAATACATAAAAAATAGCCAGCATTCCTGATTTGTAATTTAAACAAATAAAATGAATACAAAAACAAATAAAATTGAACAATAAAGAGAAGGAATGGAATGGAATGGAATAAAATGCGAAAATAAAAAGGAATAGGAAAATTATTTTTCTATTCTTGGCTCCTCCTTACATAATTATCATACCTATATTACTATAAAAAGCTTAAGGACATAATCTATCCTATTTTTTGCAGTATCTTTAACACCTGCCATAGTGGAGAATATAAATTTAAGTGAGTAAATAAATAAATAGTAAGATGTTACACAAGAGAAACAGAAAATGCTATGAGCACTAAAACCAACACTGTGAATATAACTACCTCAAGCACTAAAGAATCACCTTATTGTTACTGAAATAAATCATGTAAATGTTTTCTCAAATTCTTATTTTTTGAAATCCATCATTTATGCCTTTGAAGTGGGGACTGAAGTTTTAGAAGTGACATTCTTATTGATCTTTACAGTAAAAACTAAATCTTTCAAGAGTAGTTCAGGCTGGATTTCTCAGTTTATCCTAACAGGATGTAATTTTGTATGTAAGTATGCATGTAGTTTTCTAAATATTAAAATATTCTTTTTAATCATATTCCTCATGGAGAAATTGTCTGAACAAAAACCAAACGCTGAAGCACGGCCCCAAGCTTCTAAACTGTTTTTACTGAGTGAGAGGAGACCCTGACACCTTATTACCCAATCCTGCTGGAAACTCTGGCCTGCAGGAATTAGCAGCCCATGGGAGCTACAGGTCTGAAACCTGGAACAGGTTTGAAACCTGGAACAGGGCGCCAGAAGTCTGAAACCTGGAACCTGTTACATAAAGCCCCATGCTCAAACATGCACATCTGACTTCCACCCAGGAGATAGCCCTGATCTCTTTAGAAATTGTAGAGTAAGCCAAGAAATCAACTCCAAGGATTATGTGCTCTGCTTTGCTTCAGGGGCCCCAGTTTACATCCCAATGGTTCTGAGAAGTTTCCATGACCAAACCTAAGAACAAGAGGCAGAGACCTGAAGGCACACAAGTGACCCATGCTGGCTACTCTGTGGACACAGGCCAGTTCTTACGCCACTCTGAGGAATGCAAACGGTACGTTCAGGATTGAACTGCTTTATCTTCCTTGTAAGTAAATTATTCATTACCCCCTCCTTTTGCACATTTTGTCCTCCATTTTCTCTGTGATCGCCCTGCTTTCATTTTTCCAGTTCTTATCTAAGCTACCTCAATTGCCTTGGGCTCTGCTCCCCTCAGAAACTTAAATAGGATACCAGATTTATTAGCTAAAAAACTGAGTCAAGACGGACCATGAGAGACTATGGACTCCCGGGAAACAATCTGAGGGTTTCAGAGGGGAGGGGAGTGGGGGGATGGGTTAGGCCGGTGATGGGTATTAAGGAGGACACGTATTGCATGGAGCACTGGGTGTTATACGCAAACAATGAATCATGGAACACTGCATCAAAAACTAATGATGTACTGTATGGTGACTAACATAATATAAAAAAAAAGAACTTAGTCAAAAATTTATTTTCAACAAATCAGGGAGCAGGGAAAAAGAAGCTGCTTTGTGATGTCTTTGATACTCAGCTTTTCAGAAAGCTATTGCTTAAATTATTGTTTTAAATCTTTGAACTATGTGTCTTAACTTTTTCCGATGGCACGCTAACATTGCACAAAACATGGAAAGTTACGGAAACTCATTTCTGTAAGTCAGTGCCCCCACATGAACAGCAGGGGTCAGTAGCATACCAAGAATTGTGGAACCGGTCCCAGGCTCTCGGAAACACTGCTGAATTGCTGCCCTGGGTCTGTGTACAACCCCACGATGATCTCAGCTCTCAGATGAAGTCTTTTGTTTTGTGTCTTTACAATGCACTGTTCAGTCTTCTATATGAGTTGTGACTTATTCAGACAGCATTTCATTGTGACAGTTTAACTTAAGAGAAAGAAAGGTGAAAGAGAAAGAAAAAAGGAAAGAGGAAGGAGAAAACTAAAATGCGGCCAACTGAAACACATAGACAAGGAAGAAGTGATCTTGCGTATACTTCAAGTTTGTCCCTTCTCCGTTCCCATCCACTTAAAGCCTGAACACTGTTTTTCTGGATTGCAGACCACTGTAATTCCCCACTTCCCTCACTCCATACCACACACCCAATTTCGTTCTACCACCTCTGCCATACAATTTTCTGTTAAAACAACAGAGGTCTTTATAAAAAGAAAAAAAAAAAAAAACTGTTTTAAGCCAAATACTTGACTTTTGAAAAGAATTCAAAAAACTCCTATGTCATGTTCTGGCCTTTAGTCAAGCTTCCCAGTATAGAATTTTAATGTTTTTATGCTTTCTGAACATTTTTAGTCAAGATACACTTCATTGATACGTTTTGATAAAAATTCTTCCCCTGTAAACTCACACCTTCAGATAAATAGTAAAAAGCTATAGTTGTGAAGCGATATCTGATGTGTTTTGGGGTAGAATGAAAAACGGAAACTAAAATATTAGAGATTTTTTTAAGATTTTATTTATTTATTCGAAAGAGAGAGCGCAGGAGCAGGGGGAGGGGGAGAAGGAGAGGCAGAGGGAGAAGCAGACTCCCCACTGAAGAAAAGAGCCCTACGTGGGGCTTGATCCCAGGAACCCAGGATCATGACCTAAGCCAAAGGCAGACATTTATCCAACTGAGCCACCTGGGCACCCCATAAAATATTAGAGATATTAAAATTATATTCAAGGATCATTCCCATTGCACTGGGCAGGTGTTTAGTAATCCAGTCCTCAAAGTCAGCAGGGATGAAACTATTTTCATGCATAAATTGAGTTGTACCCCAAAATATAATTCCCACAAGCCTGGCTTCCTCTTCTACCTAGGCTGGAATACCCAGAGTTATTAATGTATTCCTATAGAGGTATTGAGTTCTAACTGTGGAGTGGCAGCAGTAATATTATTTTAACATCTAGCACCAAAATTCCTCTTGAAGGGGTTGTCTTGTTACCTCCCTGACTGACAGGGCCCTATCTGATCCTCTTTGATTTGTCCCCTCTGGCCTATCTCCTACTGTCCTCCTGCATACCCCACTCTAGCCTCACCAGCCTCTTTGCTGTTCTTGGAAAACATACCAGGTAGTCCTGTGCCTGGGAGTCTTTGCTCCACCTGTTCTCTCTCATCAGGATAAATCTTACCTCCCTTATCCAAGTGACTCATTCCTTCACCGACTCAAGAGTTTGTGCGAAAGTCACCTTCTCAGTGAGGCCTTCCCTGAACACCTATTTAAAATGGAATATTGGGGCGCCTGGGTGGCTCAGTTGGTTAAGCGACTGCCTTCGGCTCAGGTCATGATCCTGGAGTCCCGGGATCGAGTCCCGCATCAGGCTCCTTGCTCGGCAGGGAGTCTGCTTCTCCCTCTGACCCTCCTCCCTCTCATGCTCTCTGTCTCTAATTCTTTCTAATAAAAAATAAAAATAAAAAAATATATTGTTTAAAATGGAATATTGCCCTCACCCCTCCTCCTTTATTTTCCTCAAGAGCACTTAGCATCATCAAATATGCTATATATCACATATATAAATAGAATATGAGATGAGATATCCGAGACCAAATACATCAACCAGTAGAGGGCTTGCCCCTGCTATCACAAGGACAAAGAAAGTTGGTTGATTCCAAAGCAAAACCCAACTCTACACTTCACGTAAAAGACAAAGACATACCTAAAACAAAATAATTCAAGAAATGCTAATGAAGAAAGGACGGGCAAAGGTATACCAAGAAAATGCAAATAAAAAGAAAGAATTGCAATTTTGAAATCCAAATAACTAGAGTTCAGTCCAAAAACCATGACTGAAACAAAGAGCACCTGATAATGCTAAAGGTTACAATTCACAGTCAAAATAAAATATTTTTGAAAGATAGGCAGCAAATAATACAGTAGCTTCTTTCATATAGTAGAAACTACAAGAGATTCAAAGAGAATAGAAATATATAAATAATTGCAAACTTTAGTATACTTCTCTTAGTCCAAGACAAGAAAAAATCATTTACAATAATTGACTCTTTACATATAGACACATGTATACCTAAAATAATTACATAAAGAAAAATACAAATAATATTCTGCATCAACAATATAAGTAAAAATTCAATTTACCCAAAGGATACAAAAATACAGATTCAAAGGGGTACATGCCCCCCAGTGTTTATAGCAGCATTATCAACAATAGCCAAACTGTGGAGAAAACCCAGACATCCACTGACTGATGAATAGATGAAGAAGATGTGGCATGTGTATGTATATATATATAGTGAAATATTACTCAGCCATCAAAAAAGTTTAAGATCTTTTTTTATTTATTTGACAAAGAGAGTGAGAGAGCACAAGCAGGGGGAGCGGCAGAGGGAGAGCGAGAAGCAGACTCCCTTGCTGAGCAGGGAGCTGGATGAGGGGCTCAGTCCCAGGATCCTGGGATCATGACCTGAGCCGAAGGCAGACATCCAACCCACTGAGCCACTCAGGCACCCCAAGAGCTAAAGTGTATTGTGCTAAAGTGAAATAAGTCAGTAAGAAAAAGACAAACACCATATGATCTCACTCATATGTGGAATTTAAGAAAGCAGATGAACATATGGGAAGGGTAAAAAGAAAAAAAAAGATACCATAACAATAGAGAACAAACTGAGAGTTGATGGAGGGAGGTGGGTGGGGGTTGGGCTAGATGGGTAATGGGTATTAAAGAAGGCACTTGTGATGAGCACTGGGTGTTGTATGTAAGTGATGAATCACTGAATTCTACTCCAGAAACCAACATTGCACTGTATGTTCACTAACTAAAATTTAAATTAAAAAAAAAATCCATCACTATCAAAACATTAAGAAAGACTTCCCACCTTGAAATTTTAAATTTTTCTATTAAACTTAGCCTGGCTCAAAGGGAAATACCAACTGATACTGAGAATTTCTAGAAAAAAATTATGAAGGGGCGCCTGGGTGGCTCAGTCGGTTGGACGTCTACCTTTGGCTCAGGTCGTGATCTCAGGGTCCTGGGATCGAGCCCCAAGTCCTGCTCCCTGCTCAGCAGGGAGTCTGCTTCTCCCTCTCCCTCTGCCCCTCCACCTGCTTGTGCTCTCTCTCCTCTTTTTATCTCTCTCTCAAATAAATAAATAAAATCTTTTAAAAAAATAATGAAAACATAGCATCAGAGTCTACAAGATAATGCTGACTGTTTATAATAAAATTCATAGATCTAAATATTTATATCAATAAAAATGAGACAAATAAATGAGTGAGACATCACACTCGAAAAGTTAGAAATATTTAAGTCTTGTTTTGGTCTTTGTTTTTTTTTTCCAATTTAGATTTAATTTTCTTTTTAATTAAACAACCTAGATTAGATTAGAAAACAACCTGAAAAAACTAAACCTAATTGCATTAAACTACATGTAGCACTTTTAATTAGATATAATATTGATACTGTTATTTTGAAACTATATATTATAAGAAAAAGTAAGTAATTTTGTTAATATTATTAGGTACCATGTGTTTCAGCAGAAAAGTGATGCAATATAAAATCAAATACGTTAAGTAAAAAATTCTATAATGTTTCATTAGAACTGGAATATCGGCACAAATTTATGATTTATTTTTATCTTTCTTTGAAAAACCTTAAATTTGGGGCGCCTGGGTGGCTCAGTTGTTAAGCATCTGCCTTTGGCTCAGGTCATGATCCCAGGGTCCTGGGATCGAGCCCCGCACTGGGCTCCCTGCTCCGCAGGAAGCCTGCTTCTCCCTCTCCCACTCCCCCTGCTTGTGTTCCCTCTCTTCGCTGTGTCTCTCTGTGTCAAATAAATAAATAAAATCTTTAAAAAAAAAAAAAAGAAAAACCTTATATTTTCTAGATCTTGCATTGTAAAGTGTGAAAAGTAACAGCAAGCTGTTTAGCCATGAACATCCTTAAGTGCATGGATTGTGGTCACCAAATACATTTTGCACTGACAGCAGTGAGGACGCCTTTGAGAAACGGCTGATTTTGGTCTAGAGCAGTAAATGCTCCAATATGACACTGGGACTCTTACAGAATCAGAATGCAAGGAAGCTATCAAGACATTTGTGGTTGTCGGGACGCCTGGGTGGCTCAGTCGGTTAAGCGTCTGCCTTCGGCTCAGGTCATGATCCCAGGGTTCTGGGATCAAGCCCCGCATCGGGCTTCCTGCTCAGCAAGGAGCCTGCTTTTCCCTCTCCCTCTGCTTGTGCTCTCTCTCTCTCAAATATATACATAAATAAAATCTTAAAAAAAAAAAAAGACATTTGTGGTTGTCAAATGAACATAGGAGCCAAAGATGGGCAATTTGAGCTTTAAAATGAATAATCACAGCAATTACATAAAAATGAAAATAGAGTTTCCAGTAGAATCAATGGAAAACTCCTAGAAGCAACAGAACTTTCGAAATGGTAGCAAGATGTAAAATGATACATAAATATCAATATCTTCATATACTTCAGCAATAAGCAGTTATAGGGAAAAATAGAAGAGCTGACCCCATATACATTAGCAACATCAAAAAAAAGAAAAATACTGTAGGAATAAATTTAACAAGAAATGGGCAAACCCTCTATGAGGAAAACTTAGAGCCTTCCTAAAACACACAAAGCTGGGATGTGAATAAAAGAAAAAGTAGAACCGCACTCTTCAATAGAATTATGCAAAATCATAAACTAATACCAATTTTTAAAAGTATTTTCATGGATGTAGATTCTATATTTAATATGGAAAAATAAATAAATGAGAATATCCAAAAAAGAGGGGGGAAAAAAAACAGGCCTGGCCCTACCAGATATTGGAATATATTATACAGTTTCTGCAATTAAAACAGTGTATTAGCACAGGAGTAGACAATCAGATCAATGGAAAAAATAGAAAATATAGATACAGACTCAAGTACAATGTGGAAATTTATGTGTGTGGTACCTCAAATCACTGGGAGAAAAGTGTACTTTCTAAAATTAAATCTTGTTTAAAAAGCTAAATGCTACTTTGAAAATAAATAAAATTGGATATAATATCACCTAGGTGGAATTCCAGCAAAAAATTTAAAAAAAAAATTGTTTCAACTTGGATCGTACAATGAAGAACCAATCTGCATATCCAAATTGAAGGAGATTCTGGTAAACCACTGGCCTGAACTTTTCAAAAATGTCAATGCTAAAAAAAATAAATAAATAAACAAAAAAGGCTGGGGTCGTGTTCTCAATTTAAGGGCTCTCAAGAGACTTGATAACTAATTGCGATCTGTGATCCTTGTTAAATCCTGGATTTATGTTTTACAAACAACAATAGAGTAAGCAAGGTTTTAGCGGGGGGACAATCGAGGAAATAAGAATATGAACTACATAGTCAATTACAATAATGTAATAACGTTTAGCGATTTGGACTCTATGCCTTAAGAGTTTATGATACATTGTCTGGAGACACTGTATTGTAATCTTATAGGACAGTAGTCCTCAGTAGGAGTGATTTTGCTGCTTTCTCCCCTACACTCATTTGGCAGGGTATAGAAACATTTCTGGTTGTCATAGCTGGGGGAAGGGAGGGCTGCTGCGGGCATCTAGCGTGTAGAGGCCAAGGATGCCACTAAACATTGTACGAAGAGCAAGACTGCTCCTCCCCCCAACCCCAACACACAAAAAAATCATCTTGCCTAAAATGTCAATAGCGCTGAGGTTGAGAAACCTTGGTGCGGGAGAATTCCTTATTCTTAGGGGATGGCTAGATCCTAGGCTAAAATAAATGAAATTGTCCTTTGAGCAGGTGAAAACACTGGTAACATCTAAGGGTGAAGGGTTATGATGTCTATAGCTAACTCTCAAATTTCTGTTCAGCAGAAACCACGGTACGTGTCCTTCCGCCCTGACTTCCTGTCTCCCTCGGGGACCCGGGAGGGTCGCCCCCCACTGCTAGCGTGGAGCTGACTGGCGGAGCCTGCGCGGTGAGAGGAGCTTGCCCGCGGCCACTGCGCAGGCGCCGGGCAGCTCGCCGGACTCCCGCTGTGTTTCTCCAAAAGTTACAGTCCCCCGGGTGGACCACCGTCCAGCGCAGCTGCACACAGCAGAGAAGGGAAAAGAAAACTCCCCGGGGGCTCCGTTGGCTTCTCTGGGAGTGACAAAGATGCTTTCCCACTAGAAGCCCGGAAGCCTCCTCCTTTGCAATCGGATAAGGGCTGCAATGAGCACGACTCATTCTTTTGAAGCCCCCTGCTAGGAAGAGCCACTTGTGTTTGGGCCCGCGGTGCCTGGCCATCCCCTTCCAGGCTGGATCTGCAGAGGTGAGTTTTTTATACTCTCTTTAGTGCATTCCCCTTCCCGTATCTGACGAGCCTGGGCAGTACTACATCTCGTGACACCACTGACTGAAAGTGCCCCGGGCAGGCGCATTCCATACCCAGCGCCTCACCAGCAAGCGCTAATCTAGGTGACGTTTAAAATACCTTAAAATTCTTTAGCCTTGAGTCCCTTAATCAAGGAGTTGGCACACTTTTCCTGTGAAGAGCCAGATAGCAGATATTTTAGGATTTGCAGACCAGGAACGGTCTCTGTCTTGTATTTGTCTCTGTTTCAACAACCTCTTAAAAATGTAAAAACAAAAAACAAACAAAAAACCTAGCTGCTGGCTTGACAAAAACATGCACATTATAATGATTAGATTGATCACTCACTTTACCCAGCACGAGGCTAGAGCTTCTTTCTGGCCTGCACCCTGTCCCAGATCCCACCAGTTTTGCAGTAAGGACTTAGGTTCCACAAGGGCTGTAACCCACCGAGTTTACTTGACTTCACCGGCCATCCTTTGTTCTCCATCCTTTGGGTGCCTCCACCTGCATCTGCTCCTCCTCCCTGCCAGATGGCCTCTGGTGAGTTCCTGGCAGTCAGCAAGACTACCAAGAAAACCCCAGACCAGGAGCCAAGCCCTTCTCTACTCTAAAATGTCAATTGATTCCTCTCTAGGAGCAAAAGCCAAAGTTCCTACATCGTGAATAAATTAGAATAAAGGTAATACAGGAGTATGTCAGGCAATTGTGTTTTTATAGCATTTTTTCTAGTGATAAATGTAATATATGTCCACTATGGTAATTGGGAAAATACTGAAAAAAATATATAGAAGAAAATAAAAATCCTCCACATCCCAACCGACAAAAAAAGGAGAAAAAACAAATACTAAATGTTTATGTATTCTTTAGGCCCTTTTTCCAATACGTATCCATAGGACGAATTACTGAACAACTGGGTTTTTAAAAATATTTCTTAAGAAACTTTTGTTAAAGTCCAAAATACAGAAAAGTGTGCAAACTCTAAATATACAGTTCAGTAAACTTTCGAAGACTAAAGCAGATATGCCCTTGCAACCACCATCCAAATCAAGAAATAGACCATTCCTAGGCCCCTTCATCCCCCTGCCCTGTCAGGGGCAACTTCTCCCCCAAATAAAATCACTGCCTTATCCTCAAATACACAGATTAGTTTTGTAAGTTCTTGAATTTCAGTGAAATGAATTATCCATTAAGTTTTCTATAATATTTGGTTCTTTCCCTTTATATTATAATTGAGATTCATCCATGTCATTATTGCTTTTAACAGGTCTCTTTTTTTTTCTTACTTTATTTTATGCGGTTTGGCATTCCATTATATGAATATAATACATTTTATTGTTTATACTATTATTTTTTAAGTAACAGATTTATTGAGATATAATTCTTATAAAATTCATCTATTTAAAGTATGCAATTAAATAGTTTTTTTAGTACAATCACAGATTTATCATCATCACAATTTTAGAACATTTTCATCACCTCAAAACAATTCCGTACTCTTCAGCTATCACCTTGTAGCCATGCCCCACCATCCTCTCCAGCCCGAAGTAACCACGAATCTACTTTCTGTCTTTATAGGTTTGCTTATTGTGGACATTTCATGAAAATGGGATTGTATACTGTGGAGTCTTTTGTGACTGGTCCTGGATTTTCATGTTATTTCCAGGTTTGGGGCTATTACAAATAATACTACTGGGAACATTTTTATACATATCTGTATGTTATACGTATCTATAGATAGATTTGTATCACACAGATACATATTTCTGTTGGGATATATACCTAAGAGTGGAATAGCTCAGACATAGGTTTATGCTTATGGTTAGTTATAGTTGATAGTGCCAAACTCTTTTTTAAGTTTACACTCCAACCGGCAGTGTATAATGAGTTTTCATGGCTCCACAACTCGCCAACATTTGGTGGTTGTGTGGTTTCAGCTTATATTTCTCTGATGACTAATGAAAAAGAACATCTTTCCATGTGATTATTAGTCATTTGAATATCCTCTTTTAGTAAAGCACCTTATGAGTCTTCTTTTCTATTGGGTTTTTGTCTTTTTCAATTTGACTTGTTTATTCTAATGTGAGTCCATTTTCATTTATCAGTGCTGCCCAAAAACACCTTTCCCTAATCTGTGGCTTGCATTTTAATTATCTCATTGTTAAATGTTAATAAATGTAAATTTTTTATTTTTATATAAGTCTAATTTATCAGTCTTCCTTTATGGTTCATGTCTTTGCTATCCTGCTTAAGAAATCATTGCCTACAAGGACATCTAAAAACTCCTATGTTACATATAGGAATTTACATCTATGTTACAAGTTACATCTAAAAACATACTGTTTTTTCATTGAACAGTTAGATCTAACCATGTAGAATTGATTTCGAAGTATGGTATGAAGTAAGGGTTAATTTTATTTATTTATTTTTTCAATTTTTTAATATAGTTACACTACTGACCAAGGTCCAAAGGACCTTCCTTTTCCCACTGCTCTGCAGCACTGTCCTTGTCATAAATCAGTAGAAAGACAAATCAGTGAAGATGTTGGAATTAGTAGGCAAGGACTTTAAAATAACCATGACAAATGCATCAAAGAATCTTATTAAAGAGAAGATAAAATAGATGAAGAGATAGGAAATTTCAAGAGAGATACAGATAATATTTTTTTAAAAAAATGGAAATCCTAGAACTAAAAAATACAATATCTGAAATTATTTGATAGGTTTATCAGTGCATTGGACACAACAATGAAAGGATCATTCAGCTGGAAACAGGTCACTAGAAATCATCCAAATTTAAACATACTGAGAAAAAAAAAGTTTTAAAATAAACAAGCATCAGTGACTGATGGAATAGTAGCAAGTGATCTAACATACATGAAATTGAACTCCTAAAAGCAAGGAAAGAGAGTATGGGGCAGAAGAATATTTGAAAAAATATTAGCAAAAGATTTCTGAATTTATTCAAACCTATTTATCCTAGGATGTTTACTTGTTTTCAGTGGAGCGTTAATCCCAATATCCTAGGTTGCTATGAATGGAATTTAGAAGTTAACATAAATCTACATGAAGAAGCAGGACATTTTAAAGTCACACAAAACATGGAAAAATACCTTACTAATTGGAACTTTCCTGAGCATTACTGTACTTCTATAAATGTTGCCTACTTACTAAAGGCCAGTAGCACCACCCCAATCGTAGTAACATCAAAATGTCCTCAGTTTTTCAAAACATCCTTTGGTGCATAATATAGCCTACATACAGTGAGGACCCCTGTCTCAGGTGACCTTCCACTGTCTCCTTTGTCCACACCCTTTTGAACCTTATCTTCTAATGCTCACATCCGTCTAACCACACTGGCCCCTTTCCATCTCACAGCTTTCCCCAAATGCTCCTCCCCCAGATATCCATATGACTGATTCTTTTCTCCTCGTATTTCCTCAACAAGACCTGTAGATTGAACAAGACAAAACAAAAGCCTTTCACATTCTTTCCTTCCTAGTTTATTTTTATCTATAGCCTTTATTTGAAATGCTGTGTATTTCAATTATTTAATCTGCTTATTGTCAGGGCGCCTGGGTGGCTCATTTGGTCAAGCGTCTGCCTTTGGCTCAGGTCATGATCCCACTGGGATCAGAGTCCCGCATCGGGCTCCTTGCTCAGCAGAGAGCCTGCTTCTCCCTCTCCCTGCTGTTCCCCTTGCTTGTTCTCTCTCTAACATTATCATTGTTAACATTTTTCTCAAGGCTGACATGTAGGCAACCTTAACTTATTCCTAATAACTCCCTATATCTTTCAGGGTCAATTCCTTCAGTTTTCATGAATAAGTAGGCCTGGTAGTACTCCAGTAATTTACATTTTTAAGGTATGTTTGAGTTTCTTAGCAAAAAGAATTACAGCAGTCAAAGCTCCAGCTTTTTAACTAAGGAGAATAAGAAATATGATATGACTGTTTCCAAAGCAACAAAAAGCTTTACCTGATTAAGTAGACTGAGGATTCCTCCTTACTAGATTGAAGTATCCAACCAAATTGCTGAGGGCCCCCTCACAAAGAAAAACTGCTTAGAGCTATCGTCACAAAAAAAAAAAAAAAAATTTGCCTATTCAATTATAAGCTGATTTGAACCCAACTTTTTTTCTTTACGCATTCAGGCTTCAGGATGGATGATGAAATTTCAAATAGGAAAGAGATGTAAAATCATCAAAATTACTATAAACTGTGCTGCCAGCTGAATGCGTGTTTCTTGTAGCATATGCAGAGTAAAGGACAATTTTATTCCTGCATTATACAATCCCCCAACAGCCTGCTAACCTATTGTCTTAATCCAGGTGATTCTTGATTCTTTGTCTCAGAGCCTGAGACAAAGGTATACACATTCTATTTGGGAATGTGATCCCAGGGAACAGGAATGAAAGAGAGAGGGGTGAACAGGGGTAAAATGGAAAGAAAATCCAAGCAAAACACCTAGTGTTATGGGGTAGTCCACCACTGTTAATGGGAACTTAGTGCAGGCAGATCCTTCTCGGGATTCTTATTCAACTTTGGTTCAGAACCGCCCACCACCCCTGGGGGATGAAAGGGAGAAGCATTCATCTCTCAGCAGCCATCTCCTCCTCGCTGAGGGCTGCTCCCATGGGTGTTAACTTCTCCATCGCTATCAGTTGCAAAGACCGAAGAGCCTTCCGGGTACCAGAGCATCACACAGTTGCCCCACCAGAGAAGTCTGGGGACAGGAAGCTGGGTTCTTGGTGCATACCTGAAGTGAGGCACTCACTGGCAGTACAGAACAGGGCGAAACCTGCTCCAGCTGTTCACCAGAGCTGTGGCTGGAATTGGAGGTTATAGAAATCTGGGGGAGTGCACAAGAGGCATCTTATGAGCCTATAGAAGGTGCTCTTAGCCTCACCTAAATCTGTATCCTTCTTTCTATAATCAAATTTCAGTGTCCAGCACCTGG